GAATAAATGGCAAGGTAAGTGGTAGTGGCAGCTGAGTGGGAAGCAGCGGTGGCCCATTGCAAGGCTGAGCCATATTCATTCAACTCACTGTTGATAAAAGCTTGCCAAGCCAGGAGCTAGACTAAAATTTTCTGATTGAACGGTCCTTTAGTGAAAAATTTTTATTTATATTTTATAAATTGTATCAATATTAAAAAGTCTAAGTGATAGAGACAAAAAAAAAATAGAACTGTTTGGACCATATAAGTGACCTTATCAAAATATATTTCTTTTTAGTGCTGCTGAAACAATTTTTTTTTTTTAAGGAGAAATTTGGAAAAGTCACAATTCCATTCCAATATGCAGTGGGAGGAAGTTCTGAAAAATATCAGCATTTCCAACAGAACGGAAATTCCAAGTTTTGAGCAGTTCCACATTTTGCATGCAACTACCCCTCTGCCACCTATCATCTCTCTTACACCTTGCTCGCCCCACTCAGACAACCCGGTCACTCTCAATATATACATACCAAAAGAACCCAAAAAATATTACCCTGCAATACACAATATTAACTCTGAGCTTCCAGGGTTACATGTAATGAGAGTCACAACTTTAATCCTATAACTGCATAAGCCATACAGTGCACTGGAAAGATGAATAAAACTGGTTGCATACTAGAAATTTCTTTCCTTATCACAAGGAATGTTTTAGGATACCTTTTATTGGACCAACTTCATGGATGGAATGAAGTTAGACAAGCTTTCAAATGCAAGACATTTTTCACTGCTTCATCAGGTGACCTGGTGAAGAACATTTTACTTTTGAAAGCATAATTCTTGGATGATCCTGGTTATGATATCACTCTAACACAACCATTTCCTTATCACAGGCAGAAGGCAGGGCAGGTTGACTCCTTAGCAACTAACTGTTTCAGAGATGCACGAGTTTTTGTAGGCAACAGCTTAGGACTGAGCTGTGCTCTACTGGGAAATTGAGGAACCACCTCCTCAGGGCTCTGTACAGCAAACAGGAACAAATTAGCACGAGACCCACAGAGCTAGCAGACTTATGATCATACGGAACAACGTGGACATAACAGCCAGGTTTGTTTTTATATTTATTTTTTGCCTAACTTCAGACTAACATGGTCAACCACCTTTATCTTTCCTTATCAGCTTCTAGTATATAAACAATGACCTTCAGAATGGTCAGGTGTAAAATCCCAGCCCCACTAAAGTAGAGCAACTTCCATGGACTTCAAGGGGATCAGGATTTCACCCTGGGTGTATACGATACACATATACATACGTGTATATCATATACATATGATCTAAACCATACACTTATTGAATCATGCACATTCCAACTATTTTTTGCGTGCATTCGTTCTACGCTACAGCACAAAGAAATGGGTGAGACCAAATGTTGTAGTTCCCAGTGTGATTTTCAGTTCCACTGCAGTAACAACAAGCATGGTTCAGTTCTGCACAAGTCCACTATAGGGCTCAAACTCCTGAGGTAAGAAGTAGGCTAGTGAACGGACATTTAAAATTGCCTCAGCTTTCAGTTCCTTTGTTTTTTGGCATTTGCACTGGGGTAGGACCTTATGTCCCAATCTTAACTAATGTGAACAAAAGGTTTTATGGGAAAGTTTGCTAGCGTTTAAAATAATTTATCTCCAAGATTTGGGGGCTTAAAACCTGCAGCCAGAGACCATCTGACATTGGAGACTGGGGCAAACAGGGAAGAGAGCTGTTCAAAATACACAACACAGCCTCCATTTAACCCTTAGCAGCCCAAGAGAAGAAGCTTTACCCAACTCTCCTGTTTCCCTTGATGCTCAACATTTGTCATGGGCACAGGCAGGAGTGTGGCAGCCTGAAAGGCCATGAGCATCAAGATGAGAAAGCGGGAGCAGGAGTTAGAGCTTTCATTACTGGACCTGTATAAAGTTTTAAACAGAGCAGGTATCATGGTCTCCGTGGGTCCTCTGTGTCCTCAGCCCTTCATCCTGTCTCGCTCTATTCTTAAGACTATCATCAGATCCTCCCTTACTTTCAGTCCCAGCCAGGCAACAGCAGCCTCCTCTTCCTGCTGTCCCTTAAGCACTGTCCTACCTTCACTGCCTTATCCAATCTGCGTGCAAGCTACAAGCATCTCAGATTTACACCTATAACAATAACGCATGGAAATTGGGATAACGCACACGGAGCTAAAACCCCCCACAACATTCCTGTAGTTTTACAAGTACAAATTTGGCTAGAGTGGTACAAGAAGTGGGGCTGCGGAGGGCAGCTGAAGGGAAGCCATTTGATTGGAAGACCACTGTCGAAAGGTAGGACAATGGCCCCTGGCAGACATTACCTTTGTTGCATGTTATATGCCAGGGTTGCACAATAAGTGATAACATGCCAGACATTTAACCAGTTTAACTCGAGTACAAAAGTATCTGCCAATTGTTTTGTGTCAACAGAAAAGCTTAATGCCCTAGCTGCAAACAATGAGAGTTTTACCACTTTAAGTTACACCCCCCAGTTAGAGACACAATTGGACAGATGCAGTCATGAAGGTGCTTACATAGCTGTAGCTTATTTCTGTGAACTGGACCAACACCAGTGACTGCTGCTACAGCTAGGGTACTTAAAAAACAACCAAACAACTCCCCTCCAAAAAAGTCTCACCCCTAACTCAACTAAAATCTGTGCCTGTCATGCCTCTTTCCCTGCTTAAAGTTTACCTCTCAGCAGACTTAATTGCCATATTGGTCACATTAGCTAAAAGTTTCAGCTAATATGATCAACAGTGAAATCACCGACATACAGGCCAGATCTGTAATTATATCCACGGTAGTGGTGCAGCCTAGGTGTCTGAATCTACCAACATGGATTTTGTTGAAGAACTGGGGGTCTGAAATTGTAATCTTTTCTTTGTGCTTCAGATTTGACAGCCTTAATAAGATGAATGATGCAGTTCACACCTCTCAAAACGCACTGTCCCAGGCGGTTTCCTTCACTTCTACACAGGCTCCAACCAGACTCACCTCATAAAAGGAACATCTGGATTCTAGCATACCTGTTCAATAGCAAATGTTGGTTAGTGAAAATATCTGTCCAAAACTGTCAGGTTCAGGCCTAACATGGAGTTCACTGAAGTCAATGGAAAGGCAGTCAGGAAGCATTGGAGGAAATCCACAGATAAAAAATGGTTTTGAATAAGGACCTAATCCCACACTTCACAAGGTGTGGCCAGACCACTGCCTATTGCAAACTACTGCATTATGGGGGTCCATATGGAAACATTAGGACTCAAATACACTTTAAATGCTGCAACCTCGAGCCAGCTAAGTACAACAGTGACACAATTTCAGCAGACAGGCAACTTGTGTGCTAAAAGGGGTGACCAATAAGTCATATTCACCAAATATTTCAGAGCAGTCTATTTAAAAATGGTTACTCTTCAGTAATTAACAGACTTGCAAAACACCAAAACCAAGACTCCAAAAAACCCCACTCTGTCCTCAGAGACTGTCTCCTTTCCAAACTATGGCCTTTACTGTATGAGTCACATATTACAAAGATGCAAGAGCCCCATTTTTCCACAGCTTTGTGCACACAGCATCTCCATAACACAGTACATCGTGGCGTCAACAATACACTTCCCAAAACAAAAATTAAATGAATTATAGGAAATGTATACACACACAGTTATTTCCCCTCAGCTTTCAAAAATGAACTATGTATGTATGTACACACATGCATATACATACACACAATTACTTCCCTCAGCTTTCAAAAGTGAACTATGCATGTGTGTATGTATGTATGTATGTATGTATGTATGTATGTATATGCACACACACACACGCGCACAATTATTTCCCCTCAGCTTTAAAAACTGAGACAAATGTGTGTATGTACATATGTATGCACACACACACACACAATTATTCCCCTCGGCTTTCAAAAGTGAGCTATGCATGTGTGTATGTATGTATACGTACACACACACAAGATTATTATCCTTTAGCTTTCAAAAATGACACATAGACATGTGTGTACGTATGTATACACACGTGCATATACATGCACACCAGTATTTCCCTTGGTTTTCCAAGAACAAGGCGTGTATGTATGTATACACACACACAATTATTTCTCCTCAGCTTTCAAAAATGACACAGACAGGTGCGTACGTACGGATGTAAACACGGGCACACACACAATTACTTCCCTTGGCTTTCAAAAGTGAACTATGCGTTTGCGTACAGACACACACACACTTCCCCGTGGTTTCACTAATGAGAGAGCTAGAGAGATACCCTGATACAGAGAGACCACGCTACAGCGGCAGGCAGAGAGACAATGGTACGGCGGTAGAGATGCGTTTGCCCCTGGCTGCTGGCGAGGCGGAGTGCCGGTGCCCCGCGCTCGGCCCGGCCCGGCCCGGCCCGGCCCGGCAGAGGCGGCGGC